CTTACTTCATGTCAGTGTCACCAGTTTCTTGTAAAATGTATACCTAGGTATTAGCCTTTCTGTTCTCATGACAAATAGGATCGTTTCTTTCATTCTATCTTCTAAGCGGTGGTTCTTTGCATAAATAGACACTATTGATCTATGAGTTTTTATTTTGCACCCTACTGCCTTCCTGAAATCTTACTCTTCCACGGCAGTTTTCACAATGATTGCTGGGATTGGCAACATTGTGTCCAATCTATAACTCCCATTCCTTTATTTTACTTGGTCTCATTGGTTTGTGTCACAGATTAAACGGAGGTACCTCCTCAAAAAAAAAAAAAAAGTGTGTCAAATCCAAACCCCTCTACTTGTGGATGAAATCCCAGCTGGACATAATTTGTGTGTGATGCTAATGAGCCTGATCAGTCTAAAGTGGGTCTTAAACCAGAGTTTATGAGATGCAAAAAGAGCGGGCCAAGCACAGAGAAAGGAAGTACAGCTGGGATGATCTCACAGGAATATCTCCAAGAACAGAGGAGCAGACGCTGCAGAGATTCTAATGTCCTCTCCGAGCAGAGCCTTTCAATAGAGGCCACACCCTAAAAGCAGGCTGCTCGCTGTCTGGTCTTTGAGAACACAGACCAGCCCCAAGGTCTACCAGGAAGATGTAAGAGGTAACATTAAGGTTCACCGGTTTCTTATTCTGAATTTTGTGAGAATGCTGCTAGGGTCGTTAAACATGATTCGGGTTTGGGGTTGAGATGGGTGTATTTCCCATGTTATTAAGTCTGTATCAATATTAATGGGCATTTTGATCAAAAGTAAGTCTTGGATTTTCCCAGTAGTCTTTCGGAAATGTTGGAGATAGTTACGGGAACTTTCCTTTAAATGTCTTAGTGTGGCTGTTGTCAGCAGAGACGGGCCCCAGGGAAAGGACATCATGCTTGGTAACGTAAAAGGAGAGTGAAAAAGAGGAAGGTATTTAAGGGGGATGGATTGGCCCCATGGCTCCCACGTAGGAGCCACTGTGCGGACGGGGCAGGCCACGGCCGTGTTCACTCTGGTGTGTGTGGGATTGATTGACAGCCGCGGGAAAGACTCAACGGCACCTGACGAGGACCATGTGAGCAGTTAGTGCCTGGCCGCGACGTGTCTTCTGAAGTCTAGAAGGACTTTGGGGTCCTTGCACTCACAGCGTCGGCTCCTCTAAAACTAGTTTCCGTTTCTCTGTGGTCAAATGTACCAGCGACGTCCGTAGCAAGCTGGGATTTTTGAGTCTTACGTCAGAGGCCTAAGGAAGAGGATCTTCACCAGCCTGTGGAATCAGGGGGCTAACTGGGGTGCCCCCCAGAGCTGGCCAGGCACGGCGAACACCCCTGATGACGTAAAAGGTAGCTGATGGGATCCAAG